GTAGCTGTATTCCGCTGCCTACTTCGATCTGTGTGCAGTGTGGACTCTGTCTCCTCTCCCCCTTCTCTTATGCATGTATGGGCGTGTATGAGGTTGTCTGTGTGTGAGTGGCGGTAAAAATCGTCAGACAACCAAGTTCATAACAGTTGGTATCGGAGCAGGATTGGAATTGGAACACTGAGGGTTGAGCGCACTGAGGCATCTTCTTCATCTGGCGATATATTGGCGAGAGCTTCATGGCGATTCATCTTCCCTAGTACCGAGTCAGCAGGGAAAAAGACTTTCTGCGGTGGATTCAGGTGTTCAGTGTTTGCACTGAGCAAGCACACTGAGCCTGTCAGGGCGCTTGTCAGGAAGTGGCGAGTTCAGGGCTAATTCGCCATAGCCAACCCTGAGGGTAGTGTTGCGAAGTACCCCAGAGTGGCGAATTACCCCTGAGGACATCAGGGAACCCTGAGCGGCATTATCCCTGGGTAGCGCTGGCAGAGATTGACACAGTATATCAATCTCCAGAAGAAATAACCCCATCTGGGGCTATTTTTAGCATCAGCGACTACCAGGCACTATGGTGAGATCTTTTGTTGTTGGCTATCTGGGCGCCACAAGACCAGATACAGTGCATCTGGAGTAAGGGAGTGCAGCGCTACAGGATCTTGAGGAGGATCAACAAGTTTGAAGCAGTTCTGTGCGTGGGATTGTCAGGAGGAATATCTGGAAGATATTGGCGAGACAAGGGTCATCATCTGCCATAGCCAGATCTTCATCAACACCTGCAAGATTCTCTGAAAGTGAGTCCGTTCCATGCACCTACCTGCATAGCGATCCACATAGGATTAGATTAGTCAATTATAATGGTCTATCTCTGCCTGTCAGTGACTGGATGTGAAAATCGCAGACTGCATGACAGCCATAACCATCTCTCCCCTACCTCTCTCTGCTCATTTCTAACCCTCTGTTGACTCTTTCTGATCCAAAATTGTTCTGTGACTGCTATACTGCATTGTGATTGATATGGGATACTCAATCTGTGAATCCTGTACTGGAAAGGTAGTGATACTATGAATTGCAGTTTTGCGCTGAGTCTATTTATAGCCTGTGCTAACCAGGGTCAGTCACAACTTCAATTCTGTCCGTCAGAATTCCATTCTGTTAGTCCCCAGTGAATCGCAATCCAAAAATAGACACTACTGCAGAATCGCATGATTGGATTTACAGTATTTCACTGGATACAGCGAATACTGTACTTCGCCATACCCCAGGGTATGGCTGCCAGAGTCATCAGGGTCTAAATTGGAGTCTGAGCTAGGTTATAGGGTATCTGTTTGAATCGCTTGTTATGGTTGATCTCTCCTGTCAGTACTAACCATCTTCTATTATTCTCACTGATGGCACTTGTTTTCTAGTGGGCTCTGGAAATCTAGTGTGTCTTTGGAAGAGTAGTGGAGTGACTCTACTAACTCCAGTGTGGTGCAGGGTCAGTAAAAGGAAATCGTGTGCATGATTTTGCTGGACTTTCAGTCTGTCTGACACCTGACCCCAGAGACACCCTTCCAACCCAACCGCAGATTGCCTATACCCATCTGTTCCAGTGTTTGAGTTTTGCAGCGATTCCAGGGTGTTTGAAGGAATCTGAATATCGCTTCAGACTCGGGTTGCTGTATTTTATTTGTGATTTTATTTTGAAAAAGCGAAATGTCTGACCAAGGGGCTCAGCAGCAGCCACAGGTGGAAGTGGTGATGAAGGTGGAAGGTCAACAACCTTCAACCTCCACTCCTCCTTCTCCACCTCTGACTGCTACTCAACAAGAAAAGGAGTTGCAAGAGCAGTTGCGGCGGCAACAAGACCGACGTGCAGAGTTGGAACGTCAGGAGGCAGCTGAGCTAGAGGCTGTAATAGATTATTCCAGAAGGGAATATCTGTTGCAACAGCTAGACAAGGTGCTCTCAGATAACCGCTGTGCACAGGTGACTAAGCACTTGGCAGAGATGATCATTCTGGAGCACAAGATCACCAGTTCCCACTTCATGAACTGGGATGATCGTTTTGATCGTTTGGAGCGTCGGGTTGACCACCTGGCCGCTCAACAGTCTAAGATTCTGGATGCGATTCAAAACTTGACTGCTCAGCTTTCGGCCGCCAAGCTGATTGCTCCTCAGCTCCCTCTGATAAAACCCAAACCTTCTCCTCCTTCTACCCCTCCTTCATCTCCCCCTGGATCAATGCATTCTTCCCAGACACCACCTCAGTCCCAAAGAGCCTCAGGCAAAGCCACCTATGCTGCTGTTACTGCAGGAGATCAAAGAGGTCCCAAGATCCCTACACCCAACAAGTTCAGGGGTGATGACCCCAAGACCGATGTTGGGGATTGGGCTGCAGGGACCAGAGCCTACTTGAGGGGCTTTGTTTGCCCAGAACAGACCAAGGTGGCAACCGTTCTGGGACTGCTGGAGGGGCCTGCACAAAAGCGGGCTACTTCAACCTCCAGCAGTCTGCAACAAACTATGGAGGACTGGGCTTTGGGACTGGGAGTGGACAGGCTTCTGCAGGCCTTGGAAGACCGCTTTGCAGACAAGGAGTGGGCCCGCAAAGCTGCTGACAGGATTGCTTGCCTGGGACAGCAGCGCTATAGCGGTTCCTTGCAATCCTTGTTTGCAGAGTTCGAGCAGCTGACTTCCACACCAGGACTGGTGATGTCTGCAAATGACCTGCTGACAAACTTCTGCAGAGCAGCCCCTGAGAAGTTTTCAGTTGCATTGTACAACGTTGGACACAAGGACTGGAGGCCCTTTGGCCGCACAACCCTGGACATGGAGGCAAAGCTTCATGTTCAGGCCCCATCCTCTGATAGGAGGAAAGGTGCCTTCCCTAGAGGTGGTAGAAAGGGAAAGGCAACCTTCACTCATGCGGGATCTGCATCAGGTTCAGATTCAGATTCCCAGGCTGGTACACCTTCAGCTGGGACTGGATCTGCTGCTGATACAGATGTTGCAGCAGCCCTGACTCAGGCTGTTTTGGGAGTTCTGCAACAGCAGAAGAGGTTTTCCCCCACCACAGCCTCAGCCAGTGCAAAGGGGAAGGAAAAGGGACGTCGGCCTTCCTCTTCCCAACGCCCTAACCTGCCCAAAGACGTCCGTATGCCAGGTGACCCTCTCAATCCCTCCACACTCCCCTAGCATGACCTCAAGATCCAGGAGGGAGTCTGGAGAAGAAGGAAGGAGAGAGGGGTCTGCCTGAGATGTGAGGGACAATACTTTCTGAAGGATTGCCCTTACATGCCAGGCCCAGGGCACTCAAAAAACTGAAACAGACCCTGGGGACTGCAGTTCCCCCCAGTGCGGCACCTTCCTCTACTCAGGTAGGTGAATCTGCAGCTGTTTCAGTTGAGATAGGTTCAGATTGTTCGGGGACTGCGCGGGCAGCATCCTTCTGTTATGAGGATCCTGACCCGGATCAGGACCCGGAGCAGGATGAGCTTCAAGCCCTTGCTGCCTTCTTCCTTCATCTGAAGGAACAAAAGAAAAACAAGTCTGATCTCATCATGCTT